GAATACACAACAATCTGAAAGAGGACTCAAAAATGTCTTAAAAATGATTTAAAAGACTGCCTTTGGAGGGAAGGAGAGGCTGGAAGTGAGCATTAGGGAGGCTTACGGGGACTGTGTCCTATTCTGTATCCTGACCCAGGTTCTGGTTACAAAAGTTTGTTCAGTTTTTGAAAGCTGGATGAGGTGTACACCTATAATTTGTACACTTTTCAGGATGTATGTTGTAATTCAGTAGAATGATTTAAGAAATGATTGAAGGAAATAATATTTGGATCAGAACTCTATAGAATAAGACTACAAGGGGCAGGTTTATAGAAAAAACGAGAACTTTTAAAAATTAAAGATATGCCGAAACCGGTTTGGCTCGGTGGATAGAGCGTCGGCCTGTGGACTGAAGGGTCTTGGGTTTGATTCCAGTCAAGGGCACATGCCTGGGTTTGGGCTCAATCTCCAGTAGGGGGTGTGCAGAGGCAGCTGATCAATTATTCTCTCTCATCATGGATGTTTCTATCGCCTTTCCCTCTCCCTTCTTCTCTGAAGTCAATAAAAATATATTTTTTAAAAAAGGAAATGAGTTACATATCAGGTAAAATGTACCTGAAATGAAAATTAATGAACCAAAACATATCTGAGGAACACATTATCTGTGCCCAGAAAGCACAAAAAGCAAAAATGATGAAAAATACAAAAGTTAGAAGACATAGAAGAGAGAATAACAAAATCTGACATGTCTAAAAGGATTCTATAAGGAGAAGGAAAGAATAAGGAAAGACAGTATTTAAAGAGGTAATAATTAGTAAATTTCTAGAAAAGACAAAATATATAAGAAGCATAAACCCTCCCATGCTTAGAAACAGTTTACATTTAGAACCATCATAGGGAAAGCGCAGAACAAAGGCAAAAGGCAAAAATGTTTAAAGCTATCAGGGGGAAAAACTGCTGATTATTTGACAATAAAATTGGCAATAGACCATAGCAATAACAGAAGACAAAAAAGACAATGGAATAACATAATCATATTCTATGGGAAAATAATTCTCAACTGTGAAATCTATACCCAGCTTAATCATCCTTCAATAATGAAAAGTAAACATTTTTTTCAGACAAGACAGAGAATTTATCCCTCATAAAACCTTTCTAAAAGACTTGTAAACTATGTACTCTGGGAAGAAAGAACTGGAATTCAGAATGAAACAGTAGGTTGTAAGATGTGTCGACAGCAAAGACATTAGTACATATGTATGTGGATAAATATAATAAGCATAGAGTTTTTAAAATATTTTTATTGATTTTTAGAGAGAGAGAAAGGAAGAGGGAGAGGGAGAGAGAGAATCATTGATGTGAGAGCTGCACATTGATCAGCTGCCTCCTGAACACCCTTCACTGTGGTGAACACACAGCCGGGCACGTGCCCTGATGGGAAATCAAACTGTGACCTCCTGGTTCATAGGTCAATACTCAACCACTGAGTCACACCAGCTGGGCAACAAATATCTATTCTTTAGAGATGAAAGGGGTTGAATGTAAGTCAACAGAGGGTGGTAAGGGCCCTCGAGGCCAGCATGGCTTGACTCTATGAAGAAATGAAGGCCTAGGCCAGTGATGGCGAACCTTTTGAGCTCGGTGTGCCAGCATTTTGAAAAACCCTAACTTAACTCTGGTGCCGTGTCACATATAGAAATTTTTTGATATTTGCAACCATAGTAAAACAAAGACTTATATTTTTGATATTTATTTTAGATATTTAAATGCCACTTAACGAAGAAAAATCAACCAAAAAATGAGTTAGCGTGTCACCTCTGACACGCATGTCATAGGTTCGCCATCACTGGCCTAGGGTGACCAGATCTTCCCAATTTTGGAAGATGAACAAGAAATCAAGACATTTATATGAATTATTTTCCAATTCTTGAAAGACTAAAAGGGTGTGCTCTTCTGTAGGAGGGTTAAATTCGGTTTGTGTCCTCCCTCTGCCACCCAACCCCAGTTTGTGACTTCTGCCCAGGCCACAGGAAGGTGTAGATTTGAACAGGAGCTCTAGGGAAGACAGGCTGGACCAGTCACCCTGAAAGCAGCCTACCCTCTGCCCAATGATCAACTCCACTCTTCTGCCTCCAGGCCTCACCATGCCAGACTGCTCCACCACACAGGTTCCACAGCCAGGGTCGTCTGAGCCAAGAAGCTCCTGGCTTTGGCCCTGAGCATCCCTTCCTTCTTTTCCCAATCCTGTTCCCCTTGAGACCCAGTACCTTGGGAAGCCAGATCTCAGAGGGAACCCCCAAAAAGGCTGAAATCTCCCTGTTCTGAAGGAGACAGCTGTCCAGTGGGGAAGGCAGATAATGTAAAATGACTCCCTGCCACAATACTGCCTGGCTGTGAGATAACAATGTGGGCATTACAGCAGGGAGGGTGAGGGTTCACACTTGGGGGAGACAAATTTTCATATCCTATACTAGAGGACCGGTACATGAAATTCATGCACTTGGGGGGTCCCTCAGCCCGGCTTGCACCCTCTCGCAGTCCGGGAGCCCGGAAAGTGGGCCTAAGCCATCAGTTGGGCATCCTTAGTGCTGCCACGGAGGCAGGAAAGGCTCCCACTACTGCCACTGTGCTCACCAGCCATGAGCCCAGCTTCTGGCTGAGCGGCACTTCTGGCAACGCTCCTGCGTTGAGCGTCTGCCTCCTGGTGGTCAGTGCACATCATAGCAATGGGTTGTTCTGCCGTTTGGTCGATTTGCATGTAAGCCTGCTCAACCGCTCGCTGTGATGTGCACTGACCACCAGGAGGCAGACAGTCAACTGGTCAACCAGTTGCTATGACGTGCACTGACCACCAGTGGGCAGATGCTCTGACCGTGCTGGGGTCCGGCTGATTGGGACTGAGCGAGATTGGCTGGACACGCCCTGGAGCCCTCCGCGGTCCTTCCCCAGCTGGCCAACCCTCCGCATCCCTCCCTGGCCCCGATCATGCACTGGTGGGGTCCCTCGGCCTGGCCTGCACCCTCTTGCAATCCAGGACCCCTCAGGGAGTGTCGGAGAGCCGGTTTCAGCCTGATCCCCCAGGCCAGGCCAATTTGTGCACTGGTGCACAAATTCATGCACCGGGCCTCTAGTATGTAATAATAATACATGTGAAAATACATTTCAACAAAGGTTTCCTTTTAAAAAC